TCTCCCACCCAAGCGCCAGCCCAACACAAGAACTTTACTGAGCCTTCTACCTTCCGAGGACAGAAAATCGGTACAGTTTCATCTGGGAAGACACGAACACTTCTAGGCCCCCCCCATTGTATAGTCCACATGGCATCGCGGAGGTAGAATGCATGCCGCATCCCAAAAAACACTGGTCAGCGGTGATGACTTCACTCTTCATCCTCCATATATTTTCAATTGGCTGAGGTCTTTGACCACAAAAAGTCTTGTCAAGAAATCATTAAATGTTTACGCACCACCTGTTCGTTTCCAGCATTGCTGTACAAACACAAATCTAAACAATTTACGTAGTTTTGCATTTTTGATCTCTTTCAATTAAATAGTTTACGGGCCGAAAATGAACAACTTGATACTCTAATTATGCTCAAGATTAAAGCAAACCCCATGTAACTACAGATGCAAAAATCAGTTAATGTACTAGCAGCTGAGCCATTTCGGAGCTGATAGCTCCGCCCACAAATGGACGACCGTACCTGATGCTCGTATTGCTTCATTTGCTAAGTAAAATATGAAGCGAAGGGATTGGTATGAAGCGGCTGCGGTGCTGCATGGATATATGAGTAGATACTACCGTAGCGGTTATTGGCAAGATGCCTACGGAAACTCGTCCGAAATTGTTCTTTGAGTCATTAAGAACGAAGGCTTTTCTTCGCAGGTTTTTGACCGTTTCACTTCGTTTTTCGCCATTTTCCCCACTATATAGCGCCCTGCTAGCATTTAGGCGAGTACCAAATTATCGTGCCAACTGCCTCTAATGTGACCTCTCACCCTAGAATTTGACCTCGATCGTTGTATATTCACTATCAACTAAACCGACGTGCGCAGCGCCCCAACTCTTAACGCTTGATGATGAAGTCGCTGTTAGGGTCGAATCGATCGTCAAAGCAAACCGTTAACCACAATAAAGTTTTCCAAACATATTAACAGTTCTTGTCTTCCATAATCAGAGTGATAAACCTCAAAAACCCGCGCACCGCGGAGATCGCGCAGCTGCTACAGACCGATGCAATTTCTGTAGATCTTTCTTAGCTCGACGGCGATGATGAATGTCTTTACTTCCTCACGACGATAGGTGCAAGACCAATGTCTGCCATAGACGAACATCTGCGAAGTGATTCACCGTGGGTTTCCCGACTGCATTTTCACCCTGTGTGACGTAAGTTCTGAACGAGAAGTCTCTCGTATCTAGAGTTAGTGCCTTAAAGGCAGTTGGCACGATAAATCGCTATACAGATGTAGGATTTGTATAGGCTTTATGCGACTGGCTTAACAGAATTCCGTGACCTCGGACAGGCGCTCCGTGGCGCCTTTTCCAACTATAACGCCCTATCGAGCAACAACATTCCGTCCCAAACGCCTTCCTCGCCCGCCCGCCCACAAACGGACGACCGTTCCTGACGCTCGTATTCATTCATTTGCTAAGCAAATTATGAAGCGAAGGGATTGGTATGAAGCGGCCGTGATGCTGCATGCATATATGGGTACACATATGCAGCCGTATCTTCGGTAGCGGTGATTGGCAAGATGCGTACGGGAAACTCGTCCGAAATCGATTTACAAGTCACTGAGAACGGAGGCTTTTTCTTCGCCGGATTTTGACCGTTTCACTCCGTTCTTTCGCCATTTCCCCACTACATAGCGCCCTACTAGCATTTTAGGCCGAGTGGAAACCATCGTGCCAACTGCCTTTAAAGGCAATTCCCGCGACCACACTTCATAGGTAATACAGTTCAAAAATAGAATTGCCGTGTGTTTGTTGACTTATTGAAGGAGAAGGAAGCACGAAAAAGCGCCCGGAATAAGACCCTCTTTATTGCAATTGATCATGATCACCGGACGAGCGTAAGGTGGTCAAGATTGTGAATTGCGAAAGGCGGCGATACACTGATAAGAGACGAGAGAGGCCAGAAAACGACGGGCGAGAGAGCGCAATGGCAGTCTCACAACGACACGGTCACTGGAGGCCGGCATGGGCCTATCGGGCGCAAATGGGCCTAAAACCTGAGCGCCCTGCGTTTTGCTTGCTGTTTTTCAACTTTTAAAAGCAGCGCGAGGCGGAGGTGGTGTAGTGACAAGCGACATTCAATAAGCCACTACGATTCTGAATGGAAGTAGAATGCGTGCCGCATCCCACAAAGGGATTGATCAACGGCGAAGACTTTATCCTTAAAAGCAGCATAGCCTCTGACGTTGCCTGCTTGACCATCGTGCACGGTCATGAGAACCTAGCCTTAGTTTATCGCGGAACGTGCCTTTAGGGACAGCTGATGCTGTACAGCGCAAACATGGGGCTGACACCAACTATTAGCTTACCCCTTTCCTTCTAAAATTGATGTAGCTCCGCATAGAAGGCTTATTTGAAGTTTAGATTACGAATGAATTATTTATTTTCATCCTCGGAGCAATTTTGCCACATCGCTACTTGACAGCACGACGTCTTCCATCAACTTCCTTATTTTGCAGTTGAGTTTATTGTAAATGGGTGACGAAGTTTTTGTAGTTCCTGTGGCAGTGGTGGAAATGCCGAAAAGTGCTATATCGAATGGAACAATGCTTAATAAAGAAGGAAAGAAAGAAAGGAAGTGATGAAATTAGAAATGAAAGGAAAACACGCAAGATGAACATGATCACGAGTCACATTTTTTCATCCAAACCTCAGCAGTGATTCCGTATCTGAGCGACCACATACCAAGGACGACATTTCTCTGTCCACTTGTGCGCACTGTGCCCTGCAGAATAACAATAATTTTCTTCTCATTCATAGTAAATGACTCCTTGTTGCCTTCGAAAAGCTCACAAGTTCAAGTGGTCACTTGTGAAAGGGCCTAAATCATCATGGGTCTTCTCAATGCTGCTCTCACATGTACCTGCTTTCGAATTTTCAAAATGGTTTTCTAAACGAAATTATGAAGGTTTTTCTCCGCTTCTCACGAACAACACGTCAGCGGATCAAAATCCTGCTGGGCTTAATCTTCTTGCTGGTTGCAAATCACGACAGAAAAGATTTTAATGTTGCCCCTGCATGAGCGCTCACCTAAGCTTGCCTGAAAAAGAACTTACAAGTAACCACTACGCTTATGCGCTTTGTGATCACGAAGGAAACTAGGCAGAATCTGGAAATTTGACCTGTTCAAAAATTGAGCATCGAGTGCAGTTGAAGTGCATGTTTACGCCTATTCAATTGCAGGTACATTCTCCTGTTCGGAGCTTCATCCCTCCATTTTTACACGTCCAGCTGTTCCTCTAGCTTTCTGGTACCTTGCTGAGATTTTCGTGTGGAGACAAGGGGTCGACGAGAGGCTGGCCCTAGACCCACTGGCTGCACTTCTCTTCACCTGTTGCTGCCTCTCCTTCTCGAAGTTATGTCAGAATCGTATATTTGCCTAAAATCTGTCCTCAGGAGTATTTCGCTCCCTGAACGCACTCATTCAGAGCGAAAAGTGTGCACGGCGAGTCCCTAAACAGCGGAGTTTCTTCGGAAGCCAGATGCTCAAACCTTATGCCTACAACTCACACGTTAATGCAAAAGTTATGGGAATGCAGTCGATCTTGTAACAATGTTGAAGTCTTTTCAGCAATGCTACCTACAAAGCGGAAACACGAGCCGAACAAAAAAAATTGAGTTTGAGGTCTTTCCAGGAGGCGAGCACATCTGCTTCTTTTCTGAACAATCTTCTCTCTTGGAGCGTGATAATATAAGAAGGACGTCATCATGCAGTACAGACAGACAGCGTGGGGAGAAACTTCGCAACTCTGCTTAGAGAATAAAATGCAGATTTTGAAAGCAGATGTGAATTAAGTCCCAGAAACCCTCCCAACAGTCCCAGAAACCCTCCCAACAAAAAGCGGCCCTGGTGGCGTAACGGATAGCGCACTCGCCCGGAAAGCGTGAGGTGCGGGTTCGACTCCCGCCTGGGGCACGACTTTTGCCCATAACTCAGCATTCTTGTGATAACCTCCCAACAATGTCGATCCCATCCCAACTGAATACTCTGGTCTGAAACTCATTCCTGATGAACTGACATCTTTTTCTGCATACTTTAGTCTTTCGAAGGGATCTCAAACACTTTCTATTGAAGATGCAGGAGAG